TTTTTTTTTTTTTTTTTTCAGAGCAATGTTTGCTATTCTGTTTCCTGAATCTCAGGGTCCATTGTGCTTTATGTTCTGGGGTGCACTCTCATTATATGATCCAAGATAAAAGATGTGGAAAAAAGGTGTATTCTCCTTAGCAAGCAAGCAAATTACCAACAAAAAAGAGCAAACCTGCCTACTGGTTTGGCAGTGTTTAAGATATCACAAAAGAAAAAAGTGTATAAATATCTGAATGTAGAGCGAGAAATTCTGTTCCATGTTTACTTTTTCTTCCTTAGAAAAATAGATCTAAAACCTCTCCTACCTTGCATAAGGGCAGCACTTCATATTGGCTGTCAGTCTTCTGTTGCCATCTACAAAGACCAGTTAGCAAAAATCACGTGACTACTGTTATCTTGCTAGTGGAGGTTAAGAAGTTTCTCCTCTCTATAACATATTGAATTGCAATGCAATTAGAGCCTATGTCTTTACTTAATGGTGATCACTGGATCCTTTAAATGCCAGTTCACGAAGACGAATGGCATATTTCTCTGAAGCACTGTTAATGATCTATTTTGTCGGCCCATGGAGACACTGGGAATTATAGTTTGTTCCTCTGGCAATAGAAACAAATGACTTCTCTCGAGTTCAACCAGCTACTTCACGTTTCTTTGTCATGTTAATCACAAAATCATTTAAAGAAAATATTGGGTAGGAGTCTTTTTCAGCCATTTTCACGCTAGGCTCTGTTTTCTGCTGGTTTCTCTGGATCAGTAGAGAGCTGTGTGTAGTTCCAGGTTCTCTGGGGGATCCTGCTTTCACAGTTCCCTGGCTATTGAATCCAGGGATCTGGGTTTTGGCATCTGGATCGAGGCTGGGATAACAGACTTGCATAAAACCACCTTGCAAGCGGGGCTATCCCCTCTTTGGTTTTGTTTTTTTTGTGTTTTTTTTTTTTTTTTGCTATGTGCCTCTTGTTATTGTCTGAAGAAAAATGATTGGTGTAGCTTCATACTGATGAATTAGATCAGTATTGCATAATTCTGAATAGCTGCTCCTGCTTTAAGCAGGATTGGCTGCTAGGCAAAAGTTAGTGCTTTAACATAAGGAGTTTTCAGTAAACTTAGCTGAGCTGTAAAAGCTTTGTGCATCTTCCTAGTTCCACTTGTAGCAGACCTATTTTCTTTAAGCTGCAGCCAGTTAAGAACAAATTTCAGTTATACGGAAACAAAATGTTTAAATTGATATGTACGAAATACTTTGTTTTGATTTAAATATGTTGATACTTTAAGTGCAGTGGTCGTTCTCCAGGGTCATTTGAGACATTGATCAGAGCAGTCACAACCAGCAAAGTATGAGTCGAATGCAAATCAGACCAGAAGATGGCAGCCTTGATGCATGCAAGGAACACCCAAAAGTTAAACCCTTTTCCAGAACTGAAAAGGAAAAGATTACCTTCGCTTAATTAGAAGGTATACTATCTTAGAAATACATAGATAAATGTTAACAAAATAATAATTTTAGTTTTTGCCCCTTGCTGCCTAATGCAAACAGTTGAATTAAAAATGCACTTAGGTTTGTGTCTGAATACTGGATTCACCGCTTTAATCTGATAATGATTTAAGACCAGGATTCTGAAATTCAGTACTCTTGTTCAGAAGTGGTTATAGTGCTAAAAAGCTAGTAAGATAACAGATGCTCACGTTGTCACACTAGCATCTGTAAGCTACTCTGTAAACTAACGATCACTTTGTTTTTAGCTTTAAGCTCAAACTTTATTCAAGCTTAGATGTAAAAATACTTGAGCCTTTATTTAAATGTTGCTCTCTTCTTGCCCATAGGGTATGCATATGTGTGTGTTGACATGAGAGATCAAACACCTGCTACTTTGGGCTGGAAACTGGAGAACTGTATACCAGACCTGGTAAATAAGCAAGGCATTTATAGGATA